GCGCAGAGGTAACACTAAACCATAATTATCTCACGATCATATAGTCTATATTTAAACTTCATATATTTTCAATATAATTCTAGCCATTAGAGTCCTTAATATTCATCATTATCATTATGGTTTCTTTGTCAATTTAATTATTCGAAACAAGTGACATCAAATATTCTTCGTCCTACGAATGAAATTTTAATTACGTCCAGAGAATGTTTCGTTAATGCAACACATTCGTATTTAACGTCACTTTCTAACGCAAATCCATAATTATTTCCAGCCTCTCTTTACATATTGTCTACATAATCAATCTTTTTATGTAATATGGCGGATGATTTTTCTAAAAAATTGATTAAACTTGCTTGAAACTCGTTACTTGGGGGTTTTTTGGACGCTGATTAAACTTCTGGTGTCAGTTTTTTGATTCTCATAAAAGTTTTTAGTCAGTTTATAAATTTGTTCTCAAATACTTGGCATATTTAATTGTTTATGCAGGTCAAGATTATTGGCTTTTGGATGAGCTTTAGTTATTAATTTAATAATTTTATTTTGAAATGTTTTTTATTTATATTTGAAATGTACGTATTGCTCTCACAGTAAAAACCTGGGCTCAATTTGCTGCTGTTCAAAATAAGCCAATGCTGAACGACATAGAACGTGGCGCCATCTGCTTGACTCATTTTTGCTGCGGATCAAAATGATCCTGCTGGCTGGATCATTTTGAGCCCGGGTTTTTACTGTGGCTATAATGGGGCTGCATATAATAAAATTAGTCTAATTATTAAAGAAAAAATTACAGTTTTGTTTTTAATATTCAGTTTGCTTTTTCTACAAATAAGTGAGTCAAGTACGCCGAACATTATTCGATCCTTCCTTATCACATTTTTAATATGTGTGGTATAATTAATTAATTAATTAATTAATTATATAATTATATTAAATAAATTAATTTCCTCTCAATACTCTTGTCCTGCATAATTTAAAATCTAGTATTTCAATTTTTTTTATACGTATTTGTTCAAAATTTTTCCGAGTTAAAAGTATTAATTTAGTTTTTCCTATATTGGTTTTAAGTTACTAAAATTAGAATCAATCACTTTATTTGTTGTCTCTTGCAATAGTTTATGAGCCCTTACGGTGCGCACCAAGAGGATAAATACAATGTAGTTTCATCTACGAAAGGTGAGCACCCAATTTGGTCTGTTGACGGTATATCATTAATATATAAAACCGGGACCCCTGAGGTACACACACGAAAAAAAGTAGAATTTTTACCCCAAAATCGGTATAAAAATTACCTGCAACAAATTTTATCCTAGTTGAGGGCGCCACTGTCTATGTGAGTTAACATTGGTGAAAATTACTCGCAACAAAATTTACCCAGTTTTTTCTGTGCACCTGCGCAAGTAGATTTGTCACAGTGGGTGGCATAAAATTTTCTGCTATTAAGATAGTCTAAAATGATATTGATTAAATGGAAAGAAAAGAAATATAAATATAGAATAGAATATAGAAGTATATTTGGTTTAAATTTGTATATTTTGTGTGCCATACAGTGTCAAAAGCCTTTTCGATGTAAACAAAACAAAGTCAGTTGATATTTTCTTATTAAAATTTGTGCTTATATGTCTAAGGTGTCTAATTAATTGTTGTACACTGCTTCTATTATTTCTAAATCCAAATTGGTTAGTTATTAATATATTATTAATGCTTTCAAATTTTTTAATTTTTTTATAAATTATTCTCTCAAAGACCTTTGACAATGTCGGCAACAATCTAATAGGTCGATAGCTTGCTGCAAAGAGTTTATCTTTTTCCGCCTTATATGAAAGGGCAATAAATATATGTATATTTATCATTTGAAGTAAAGCCTTTTTAGAAAGATTTTTCGACAAAATATTTTGTATACCGTCCCCAACAGGTGCCTTTCTCATTCTATCGTATTTACAATTTCCAAAGTCCTTTGTAACATATAATTAATTTATCATTTAAAAATTTAACTAGTCTCAGCACAGCATTTTACCTATATTACAAATTTTAATCAGTCTATTTGATTCCGCTGTCAGTTCCTGAAAGTCCCTCAGCTCGTCCAACGTTGTCCTCCTTCCTTGTGCTCGTTCGTTCGTGGGCAATGGAATGTTTTGACTTTTGTTGTTCTTGTTCCAGGCATTCTCGGCTTGCTGTCTCATTGATGGAAATTGTTTTGCAGTATTCATTCGCAGTTGTCTGCTTTCTAATATTTTTGACGGTTTCCCTTACAGTTCTAGCATCCATCTTTTTGACTAGTTTTAGATAGACCGGGCAGTTGTTGCTTGCCCAGTTCTCTCCGTTGCAATTGATGCACCTCTTGGGTTTCTCCGTCTCTGGGTTGTAGGTCAGTTTTTAGATGTGAACCTGCGCACTTCATACTCTTTGGTGCCGTTTTGCACCATGTCTAAAACTTTTGACACCTGCGACACTGAGATAGTCTGCTGCTTCTTTTTAATATTTCCCAATAGATTTTGACTAGGTATATAGGTATTTAATATTCCGAATAGCTTTTATATATTCTGATCCGGAGGTAGAATTGTAAGATAATTTGGATGAGTAGTTTGCGTTTTCTGTTTCACGTTTATCACTTTGATAGTTTTTACATTTAATGTGGTTCATTTCTGTTGAATTTCCTTGATTTGAATTATCGGTAGGCCTTCAATTTATCAAATGTCTATTCTTTTCTTCCTTCAGCGAATGCAAGAAGAACAGGGAGAAAAAGTTTAAAAGTTATAAACAAACTTTATTATTTAAATAAATTAAATAAAAAATTAATAATTTTCTTTCACAATAATTTTTTTCTTAAAATTTAACTTTTTCTACGTAAAAAACATTCAAACTTTTTTTCTATTTTTAATAGAAAAAAGGTAGAAATAGAAAAAAATTGTTATAATTTGTTAACACTAATATCTTGGGAAATATTAAAAATTTTTAAATTAATATTTTGTATATTTATTTAGAATCATAATTACTATCGATTACTAGAAGTAAAAAAAAATCTGTGACATCAACAGTCGTTTTTAAATGAAATGCCTCATATACATATTATATAGGATAAATTTTTTTTTAATGAAGTATTATCCCAGCAAACACGTTATGTATCAGCTACATAAAAAATAGGTCACATTGTTATGTCACTCTGTAACATTATTTTAATGCAACCATTATATAATGAGAATGAAACGCTGTGATATAATTCTGTTATTCTATGGTGATATAATTGTTACGTAATTTGTATACGTATATGTTATATAACAATATGATATATTTATTACATCACAATGTGGTAACTTTTTGTATGTCACATTGTTCTTTAATTGTTAGGTAACAATTATGAAACTATGTGACATAACACATGAATATTTATGTTATTTTTTAAGCAACATTTTTTTCTTTTTAACTTTTTAAATTATTTAAATTTCTTTAAGTATATTTTATTTTTTAATATATTTAATGCATATTTATGTATTATAATTTATAAATTTATTGATTTTTAATGAACGAATGATTTGCTAAATATATAACATTAATTAATTTTTACTTATTATTACTTTTATTTGAATAGTTTTTTTTTAAATTCAAACAATTTTCTTTTTAATTGAATTTAAAAATTTTAATTTAAAATTTGAAAAATCATAATGCAGAAAAAGTAATATGCCATGAATTTTTGTAATTTGCATAAAATTGAATTTCTGCGGGCACATAATCATGTACAAAGGGATCTTTTTATAGCGTCTACTTGCCTGAATAGATTAGTCATTTAGCTAAGTGACTAGTCATTTGGCTATTTGCCTGAAGCCGTGCCGGCAAATAGAAGAAAATGGTTAACACATAGAAATTATAAACAGGAGCTGGAAATAAAATAAATTTAATTTCTGAAACAAACGTCAGATATGTACATTTAATTTGTAGAAATTGTAAACAAATGATCAAAACAAAATAAATTTATTTCCTTAAATTACGTTACAAAACCAAATTTTATGTAGTATAATCATACTTCCCGTACCCTCTAAATGAAAATTGTAGTTGACGCGAATTTTTATTTAAATTTCGATTTTTTTACCAAAAATGAGTATAAATCGCGATGAATTTGAAGAAAAATTGAAAGTGTTTCACAATCTATTTAAGCAAGTAGACGCATTTAATCATTTTCCAAGTCCATTCGTCTATTTTGCGCCATTTACCTAAACGCCTAGGAATTTAGCTAAATGTCAAATTCTTCTATTTGCCTACGACATATATTATATATATATATATATATATATATATATATATATATGTAACAGTATTATAGAATCCAGTAAAATTTCAAAAATAAAAAAAACACTCCCAGTCAAAAAAATTCTATAGAATTTTGGCTAGAATGATTCTATAGAAATTCTATATGAAGATTCTGTGGGAGTACGCCTTGAGGGGTACCCCTCACTCCCTTCCTAGGGCGAAGAATGTGACGTATGCCTTGATATGACGATTAGTAATAAGCATTCGAGCTGCCAGATTAGCTGGTTGTGTGAATTGAATTATCGTGATATAATGGTGGAAACTTCTATTACTCTAATTATAGTATAATAAAGATTTACTTATAAAGTGGAATTATTATGGTGTGGATTGATTTTGCCCTTCTCATCTCATGGAGTGGATGTGGATCCGGATAACCCTACCCGTGTAGAAATTTGAGTTAGATTTTAGTAGGAACCTCGCTGTGCGTCCCATTTGCCAGATGGGTTCCGGAAGGGAAACTCTAGGCGGGACCCGGCATTTTTCGTCACGATCGACGCTAGCGAGGAATATTGGTAGGGATCTAGCAGGGATATCCCTGCGATTTCCCTACCAGGAGTAAAGGGTTCTCGCTAGAACCCTATTAGCTCCCTTTAATTGATTATTATTAAATAAAGATTAATAAATATTTAATAAATCCAAAAAAACATATTTATAAAAAGACTTTTATTCATAAATATAATGAAAATAATTACAGAAGAAATGAAAGTAATTATTTTTTAGGCCATAATTACGTATTGATAGTTTCGTCTTCGGGAGTTGCATCATTTTTATTTTTCTGAACGCGTACTCTACCCTCCCAATCTTTGGCGTTAGGGAAAACGTTGCCCAATTCTGATAAAAAGGTTTTTCGGTAAGAAGATCCAACGTCCTTTCTTCTGTGTGTGTTTTTGAAATTGTAGCTGGAAAATTATTACACCGATTACTTTTATATATATATATTTTTTTTTTTTTTTTTTTTTTCTTTTCATTTATACTCCTGCCCTATTGGCATATTACGCACTCGACAAGAGTCCCCGAGAAATACTTTTTATGGATGAAGCATAACCATTCTACAAATTTTTTGCAAATTTTTTTTTAACCTAATGCGCCTACAGTGCGACTTTCGAAGATAGGAGTACTCGCATTTTGCCTGAACCATCCGTCATTGGGTTTTCTCGCCAGAGAAGAGGGAAACTGTAGAAAAACCTCTTCTGAGTACAACCGGTTTATCGACTGTCTAGTTTCGGCGGTATACATCGGACAATTAATCGACAATGTATACCGTCGCACCTAGACGTCAAGCCTCCCGCTCAGAATAGCTCACGTGTCGGAAAAATCCCCGGCTGACGGGGGGTGCGAACCTCGTTCGCTCAACCCGCAAAGCCTGGAGCACCAACCAACTGAGCTATTCCGTCGGTACTTTTATATATTTAACAATAATAAATTTTAAAAAGTTTATAATTAAAAATTTTTATTTTGTTTTAAAAAAACAAGAGTAATTTGAACATTGAAAATAATAAAAATCAATTTAAAGAACTTACCAAGCATGCACACATACATTTTCGTCCCCTTAAAAACCTTTTTAACCTTATTGCTAGAATTACTTTGTGTAACAAATTGGAGAGCCAAAGTTTTTGACAAATATTTTCTGAAGATATTTGTTAATGTTTTTCGTACATTGAATTTTGGATGATAGTATAGTGGAAGAGTTGATATCTGAAAATATTAAAATATTATTAAAAGTAATGTTTTCTAATTAAGACGATGGAAAAAATTATTTTAATATATTTATTCAAATTAATTATAGCTTTTTTATGATGCTGAAATCCGCAACGTTTTTATAAACGCAAACGAAAAAAAAATTAGACAATATCTATTAATTTGGGTTAAAATTAAACTTATTCGGGGGTAACTGGTTTTTATAAAAGTATTAATTTCTTGAAAGTTTGTGCAAATCAAAATTAGAGATAAATTGACATGAAAAAATAATTCTATTTTAATTTTTCGTTTTTAAAAACGTTGCGGACTTCAGCCTTTTTTTTACATTTTCTTTTAAACTTATATTATATTTTTAATTATCCAATTATATTTTTAATATACTTTTTTGAAAAAATCTCAACTATATAATAAAAATACATGGATACTTACAAATTGTTTTTGAAAATCGGTTTCTGCCAACTTTACTTCGAAGCTATCAAAATCTGTCATATCTTTTAATGGGAGTTCTATATTGTTTTCTTCCGCAAAGGTCGACACTTGTGTAATCGGAAAGATTCAACTGTTGTTGCTGGCTTATTTGATTTAATTCGTTGCTTAACTGCTTTGTTTCTTTATGCATTTCCTTGACGTAAACAAGGGTTTTCACGGTGACACTTAAGATTTTATCTGAAAAATAAAGTTATTAAAAAATTATATATTTGCAATCATACAAATCAAATATTTTTTCATTTAATTATATATATTTACTTACCAAGAGTCGTCTGGTTTGAAATATTAGAATCAAATGTCCTATCATCTTCTTCAAGAGAAAAATCTAAAACATCATATTAAATAATATCCTCGATTACAAAAATTAAGATGAAACTATCCATGTAAGTTTGGAAAACGAAAATGTTAATTAAATAATGAAAAACGTGAGTATAATTTACCATGTTGAGATTTTGATTTTTTTGACGGTTTTGGATTCATGGTGCCATTTTCAATTTTCCTTTTCGGTCCTGAACTAATCGAATGATCTTTTTCTGGAAAATACAATAATTATTAAATAAAAAAATTCAAAACTGTGTTTTCAAAAAATGTTTGATTTTTTAAAACTTATAATACTCTGAACAAGTTAATATTAACATACCGTTCAATAAATGAAAAGATATGTTTAAAAAATTGCAAATTTAAGGAAAACCATTTGTTGGTGTTAGAAAATTTTTTTAACATTAATGACAAAAATAATATCGAAATATTATCAAAAATTAGAATAGAAGATTATCACCAATACAGGACTTCTTCCAAAATAAAACTAAATTGGAAAGGAACATGATAGAATATTATTAAAAAATATTATACCTATTGATATTTGAGCCTTTCCACCGATGATTTTGCTCTTTCCTGAAGGACCCGGAATTCCTATTAGATTCTGAGAATCCTCAACTGAATTTAATTCATCATCAGCTTCATTCCCCTCAAGCAATTCTTGGAAAACTTTATCTGTCAAAACATTTTGTATATTTTTAGTTAAAAAATAATTAAAGTTAACATTTAAAAATTATATTTATGTAAATATGAATATAACACTTACCAAAATTAGATAAAGCATTCGACTCACGTGAATCAACACTCGGATCATCCTTTTTTCTATTCTTGCTAGTAGATTGTCCACTTACAGATGGAATAACTTGATCTAAAGTTGGTAGCGTCAGTTTATGAGTTGCTGCGTGGAGACTTTTGAACAATTCTGGAACTCCTTTGGATTTTTCCTCAGCATCAGTCTCCGCATTTGATGAATACGCATATTTTTTTTCTTCCAGTTCTTTTAGCCGGATTTCTGCTTCTTCGTATGATTCTAAAATCAGAGATAATTTCCTATTAATAATTTCCAGTAGCTTTTGTATAAATTCAACGACTTTTCAAAATTTTATAAAAAAATATATTTCAAAATAAATTTCTTCAAGACAGTTTTTTAAAAATAATAATAATTTAGTTATTTATAAATACCTCAGTTGATGATTTCTAAATACTAAGTAAATATTATTATATAAAATATGAATGATGTAAAGTTTTGTTTAAAAATAAAAGGTGATTTTAAGGAATTCGCATGATGATAAAAATTTACGAATTTAATCTAAGTTTTTAAAGATTTTAAGAATCGTCGAATAAAAGCTTTCTGAACGTTTTTAAATTAAAAAAAATAGATTTACATTAGATTCTTACCTGCGTGTCCTCTAAAAGTAATGAGATATATAGGCCAATCTGCAGGAGCTGGTGCTTCGGATTTCACCAGTTGCTTCAAGACCTTCCTTCTTTTTTGATTATATGGAGGTGGCATAAATCTTGTGTAATGTTGATCTTCTTTAAAATCATAAAAAATCCAGCTTTTTGGTACAGCATCAACGTCTTTTTGGCCTTCTGGTAATTCTTGTCCGTCTTCATCTAAGAATTCAATCAACTGAAACTTTCTTATGCGTTTTGTAGTTAAATTCGACGTAGGGGACGTTATTCTGGAGACCTTTAATAAAATTTATTTATTAATATTTAATCATTTTAAGGTTATATTAAAATTCTTTTTATAATACACCCTAAAAAAAGTAATTTTCAATCTAGAGGATTCCTCTAAAATAAATGCATATTTTCCTCTTAATTTTGGTATCAAAATTATTATTCTTCATTTAAGAGGATTTTCCTCTTAAATTAAATGTCGTCATCCAAACCTCGTAAAATTGTTTTTAATGTCAAAGCTATCAATAAAATAATTGTAATTTCAATCAAATAATAAAATCTTTGCAGAAAATACATTTTTAAATTAAAATTAAGTAAAATTATAATAGTTCATTTCAATATAATAATAAAAATTGTTTTTTAATATAACATTAACAATGTCATGTTTTTGGTTAATTATCAACATTTTATATTGATAATTAAAATACAAAAAATAAGTTTTCATTAATCAGTTGTAATGATCAACGAGATTTTCAGCGCAAAAATAATTTTAAAACATGATGATATGTTTAAAAGTTAACATTTTTTATAGGACAGAAAAAAATTTCATATATGAAATTATTTAACGTTTTAAAACTTTTTTAAAAAAGTAAATAAAAAGATTTAAAAAATTCGAAAGATTCAAAAATGGGGTTATAGTATTTCTATTTACCTGAGTAGTAAAATTTCACAAGAAATATCCAAATTTTTTTAAATCTAAAAATAGCGTTAAAAATATTCATTTAATTTGAATTTAACTATATTTTCTGTATTTTTAATAAAGCAAATCCATTTTTTTGTCCTTTTTGTTGACATTTTACCAGAAATATTAAAACTGAAAGGTTAAAAAACAACTTCACAACTATCATACCCAGGGAAAGGGATCAAACGATTACATTATTTTTTTCCGTTTCCTTTTTTTAAATCTTCTAAATTTAAAACGGAAAATCTTAATTAAAGAGGAAAATACAAAAGGAATCCTTTTGTCATTCTTCCATTAAAATGAAGAATAAAAATATTCTACATTTCAATTGAATAATCTTGTTTAAAGAGGAAATATTTAGAGGATATTAGAAGAGGAATTTTCCTCTAAGTATAAGATTACTTTTTTTTGGGTGTAATTCAATTTTACATTTAAATTATATTTTTAAATAGAACAGAATAAATGTAATTAAATATAAATAAATTGAAAGTAGCAAATAATTTAATTGAAAATATTAATAATGATTTGATTCTGATATAATAAAAATTCATAATTTTGTGAAAAATCATAAACTTTAAAAATCTTAGAGTTGTTTCTATCGCACTACTGTTACAATTACTTTTGCTAAGTACGATAACATTTAAATAACTTTCTCTACATTAATAGAATTACAGTAATTGTATCTTAAAGAAATTGATAGCTAAATGCAAAATAACTAGAAGGCAATTTATGACTAACAGACATCATATTATGCATGAAATTTTGATTTCAAGATGAAAAGTAAAAAGGATCATTTACTTACCTTCGTATTACAGGCTCTACATAAAATATATACTACACAACTTTCGTAACTTTGAAATTCTAAAATTGAATTCGAAATTGAAAAATATAAAATATTGAAGCACGATTTTAACACGAAAATATAGACACTATACTCGACAAGTCAACACACGCAAGATCTACAGAAAATTTGCCGATAAATGTTATTGGTTTTAGAGAATTAAGTAAACGGAAGCAGCCAATAACACTACGGAAACAAAGCATGCGCACTTTAATTTATCTCTTTATATAGACTCAAACGGAATGTTTCATAGGCGCTGGTGGTGAGCACGTGATAAAGCGCCAAATTTAAAATGATTATCCCATAATTAATAATGAAACATTTTCTTAGCACTCAAATTTTAAAAATAAGTGTTAATTGTTGATTTAAATTATGTAAAAAATAATTCAATTTTAAATTTAAATTAATTTTTTAATTGTGAAATAAAATTTTTCCGATTTTTAAGAAAAAAATCTAAAAATTAATGATTTGGAACATCGATATATTGAAAACTTCAATACATCGATTTCGATATTTTCGATGTAAATTTAAATATTATTTTTAAATTAAATAAAAAGTGAAACTATGTATAATAATGTAATTTATTAATAATATTATTTTGATTCTATCACTCGGTGGTATTTAATAATAAATTTAATTTATTTAATAACACAGCCCCACAAAAAAAAAAGTGTCATGTACTTTTGACCGGAATACCCTAACCCTATGTATTTTGACGCGCTGAACACGAATCCGAAGTCCGTTTTGCTCCATCACGTCAGGATTTTTTTCTAACCTCAAAAAACATGTCGGATTTTGAGAAGTAAGCGATTTTTTTAAAAATTGATGTATTAACTTCAAACTTGGTATCTGGGGGTTTTTTGTGTCGCTGATTACGAATCTGAAGTTAGATTTTCAAAATCCAAAATGGCGGATCCAATATGGCGGACGAATTTTGAAAAAATTTTAAGATTTACTTCAAACTTGGTATCTAGGGGTTTTTTGGGTCGCTGATTACGAATCTGATGTCAGATTTCCGAAATTCGATATGTCTGATTCAATATTAAGGAATTATTTTTAAAAAATTGTCAGATTATTATGAAATTTGGTATCTACAGGTTTTCTAAGTTGCTGACAAGTAACACTAGGGAAGTGCCATACGCCGATTTTTCTGAAACTTGGCAGTTTTGTAGTTTTTTGAAAACAATTTGACACGTATGTTTTGTTTTTCCCCAAAAGCTGATTTATGGGGGGGGGGAACTACCCCATGACCCAAAAAACCCCCAGATACACTATTGCATATTAATTTTAAAAAAATTTCGTAAAATAATGTCCCCCTACCAAAAAAAAATTCATGGGGTAGTTCCCCCCCATAAATCAGCTTTTGGGGAAAAACAAAACATACGTGTCAAATTGTTTTCAAAAAACTACAAAACTGCCAAGTTTCAGAAAAATCGGCGTATGGCACTTCCCTAGTGTTACTTGTCAGCAACTTAGAAAACCTGTAGATACCAAATTTCATAATAATCTGACAATTTTTTAAAAATAATTCCTTAATATTGAATCAGACATATCGAATTTCGGAAATCTGACATCAGATTCGTAATCAGCGACCCAAAAAACCCCTAGATACCAAGTTTGAAGTAAATCTTAAAATTTTTTCAAAATTCGTCCGCCATATTGGATCCGCCATTTTGGATTTTGAAAATCTAACTTCAGATTCGTAATCAGCGACACAAAAAACCCCCAGATACCAAGTTTGAAGTTAATACATCAATTTTTAAAAAAATCGCTTACTTCTCAAAATCCGACATGTTTTTTGAGGTTAGAAAAAAATCCTGACGTGATGGAGCAAAACGGACTTCGGATTCGTGTTCAGCGCTTCAAAATACATAGGGTTAGGGTATTCCGGTCAAAAGTACATGACACTTTTTTTTTTGTGGGGCTGTGTAATGGTCATTTGTGTTTACACGTTTGTAAATAAATGAACCGCAAGTGTCGGTAATTGTTAAGAAAGTTATACAGATCAATATTACAATTTAAAAAATTTTTTAAATTCATCGCGAAGAAAGCAGGACAACAATTACTAAAGTGGTGACAGAAAACAAGAGTTTTCCTTAACATGTAAGTTAAGAGTATATTTTGGAATAGAAAGCTTTGGAGCCATTTTAGGACAATTTTTAATTCTTTTCACAATAGGAGGCATTTCGTTTCATCCCCATAGAGCCCTGAGAACAATATTTACGTCTGTAAGTAGCGCGTGTCCATTGTTTTCGGGTGATCCACGACTGGAACCAAAAAAGTAACAAAATCTAGTGGTGGATCAGTCCTACTTTTCGCCTGTTGACGCATTGTTTTATTGAAAATTTTATGAGTTAAATTTTAGTTAACACTAATTCAAATGTTTATTAATTGTTAACACCTGGGGGTCGATTACGTAACTTTCCCACATCCCACATCTCACTTCCCACATTTTACATCCCAAATCCCACATCTCACTTCCTACATTTTATATCCCACTTCCCACATCCCATATTTCACATCTCACTTCCCATATTTCACATCTCACTTCCCATATTTCATATCCCACTTCCCATATTTCACATCTCACTTCTTACTTCCCATATTTCATATCCACTTCCCATATTTTACATACCACATCCCACATCCCACTTCCCATATTTCACATTCCACATCTCACTTCCCACATTTCACATCCCACTTCTCACATTTCACTTTTCACACTTCACATCTCACATTGTACATTACACTTTTCTTATCACGCTTCCCACCTTTTATTTCTCACATCTCTCCCATTTCCCACAAGATGTTGGATGTGGGAAGTGGTATGTAAAATGTGGGAAGTGAGAAGTGGGATGTAAAATGTGGGAAATGGGATGTGGGAATTGAGAAGTGGGATGTAAAATGTAGGAAGTGAGATGTGGGATGTAAAATGTGAGAAGTGAGATGTGGGATGTAAAATGTGGGAAGTGGGATGTGGGAAGTGGGAAATTTACGTAATCGACCCCCTGATTTCAAATTGTTAAATTTTTGTTGAATTAAAATACCCAGAATTAATAAATGTTATTTATCATTGAAACTGAAGCTTTAAGAGTTTCTATTTATTTATTACCAAAAATTCTAATAAAAAGATGATTAATTAATATTTAGTCACATTATACCGTAAAGCCCTATAAAAGTTGCAAAACGTCTCAGTCTCGTAATTTTAAAATGCAATGTTTTTTAGTATGATTTTTTAAGTGATCCACCACTGGAGCAATCTACAACCATGACTGGTGCAAACAGTGATCCAGAATAGGATCATTGACAAATTATCTTTGATGGAGCATTAAAGTAAACGTAGGTGTCAAAATTAAGTCTAACCTTGAAGGAAATGTCTATTGGAACTATCTGGTCCATAATACTATAAAGAATAACCTCGAATTTGTCTAAAAACAACCTATACAGAACTTCAAAGTCAAATTAAGAAAGTTAAGGGGCTTAACTGATCCACCACTGGTGCAGTTACCCTATGCATAAATAAATATTAATTAAAAACTTAAAGATTTTAAAATTTTCTAGAAATTAGAAGAAAATAAAAAAACTAGATAAAAATAAATATCTAAATAAATATAAAAATAAACTATATAAATAAAAAAACTAGAAATTAAGAAAATAGAGTGATTTATCCCCACCACCGAAATATATATAGATAACCGGCTATTTTTCACAGTTTTACATAAATGTTAATGCGCTAGGTTAAAGTAACCGCAAGATATTTAGCACCTTATTTGTGTGCTGTTTAAACTTACTTACTTTCACAGACCAACTTTGAAAACATATTTTATCTATTATTTTCATTTTTTCACTTAATTAAGAAACCCCCACAAAAAAAATTTTGTCCGGCAAAATAGACTAGTCATTCTTACGTATTTTGGGTCACTGAATCCGAATCCTGGGTCAGAATTTGAAAGTTGGTTCTTATTTTTAAGATAAACTCAAAAAACTGCTTAACGGCATGTGGGAAAAGCCCACGTGACCTAGTATGGGAAAATGTATTTTCCAAAATTCCAACTTTCTCTAAAATGAAAAAAGATTTTAGGCTAAAAATTTGAGGGTTGATAGATTTGGGTACAATGCACCGCGCTGTTCTCCTGAAAAAACTTAATTTTGCGTTAAATTATTTAAAAACTAATTTTAAAAAGTTTAATTTTTAAACGAAAATGACAAAAAAGATGGCGGCGCATACACAGACGTTGCTTGAGTGTGTCAGTGCTCCAGTAAACAGCGCCAATTCGAGCGAGTGGCCGCTGAATGAACTATGATTAAATACATTATTTTACTATTTATTGCTTTATTTTTATTATTTTTACGTAAATGAGGAGAACAGCCCTATGCTTTGCAACCTCCTTTATCAAGTCTTGAATATTTTAACCCGAAATCATTATTTATTTCAGAGAAAGTTGGAATCCACAAAAAAAAGCTCTATTTCCCACATGGCCTTGAAAAAGAAAAAAAATCAAAAAGTGAAAAATTTTTGTATGGCACTGCGATAGTGTAATTCCATGTATTTTTAGCCACTGATTCCGAAACCAAAGTTATAATTGTTAGATTTGCTGAAATGTTTTGAGATAATTGCAAAAAACTCAATAAACAAAAATTCAAAAAAAACTCAAAATCAGTTTTTTGGCATTATCTTCAAAATTTAAGCTTATTTCTCAATTCTGATTTCGAATTCGAATTCAGTGAAAAAAAGTACAATGTGCATGGAAATACAATATCGTAGTGTTTCGGCAAAAAATTATCTTTGTCGACAGGAAAAACAAAGTGTTATTTTAACACCAGAATTGGTGTTAAAATAACACGCAACAAATGTTACCCTAAATCTGGGTTAAATCTTATGGGTTTTAGCATTGGAGAAAATTACCCGCAACAAAACTAACGCCAGCTTTTTTCTGTGTCCCTAATTCAGGATTTTTATCAGATTTTTGAGATTATCTCTAAGAACTAAGACGTAACAATGACTACTCTATTTCGCCGGAGAAAATTAATTTTTTTTCTGAGGCTGTGTAGTCAATAAAAGATAATAAATTAATTAATTCTGAACAAGAGACAGTAAAATACATTGTACATTTTAAAAGAGTTGTCAATATTTTTAATAATCTTTCTAATTGCTGAAAAAGTGAGTTTTCCATATCTTCTCCATTTTAAACTCATATTTCAAGATAAATAATAAAAATTTTGACTGAATTGTTTTTATTTCGTTCTCTAAATATCATCCAGAATCATTTCGGAAAGTATCTATTTTTTTAAAAAATTAGGCCTTAACGACTT